AGGGAGAAAGAGGGGGAGACAGACATCAATGTGTGGTTGCCTCTCATGTGCCCCCCACTGTGGACCTGGCTCAAAACCCAAGCATGCGCCCCCACTAGAAATTGAACTGCTACACTTTGGTTCACAGGCCTGTGCTCAATCCACTGAGCTACACTAGCCGGGGCTTAAACAGTAGTTTGGCATCATCTATCAAAACATTTAATATACCTATCATTTGAACCATTAATTCCAGTGCTAGGTATTCATTCCATGTTGCATAAAGCACCTAAGTGGCATAAAACACCTATGTTCACTGCATCAGTATTTATAGCAGTGCTATTCCAATATGGTCTGCCCAGTGATGACAATCCACCAATTGCTTATTATTAGTCTGAGGAGTTAAAGGGCCAGAATGTAAATCAACTACACTTCTAAGAGCACTGTGAGTTCAAGTGACAATTTTTTTGTTCACAGAAAGGCTTTATTGATTAAGAAAGCAGTATGTTGATTTATAGTCTGGGACAAGCTGCTTATCTCAATGTGAAACAGCTCTTTGGATACCATTAGATCATAATAACTAATAATTGGAAATGACCCAAAAGTCTATCAAGAGGATATTTAGTGAATAATTTGTAATAGATTAAAAATTCTATGTATTCATTTAATAATGAAATCTACATATCTATCTATAGGTACCGTCTCTATATATACATGATAGAATGGAGAAATATTGTGAAGAATGATAAGTATAGTCAGAAGTGCAAGATGAAAAGTACAAGTTTGTATATGCAGAATCCCTGGAAGCATACACAAGGTATTGTTAGCCATGGTCATCTCTGGGCTGAGGGGCTGGGACCCTGTAGGGGCAGGGCATGGGGCTTTTTATCTTGTGCTCTGCTATACTGCCTACACTTTTCTACAACTAGCATAAGTTACGTTTATACTTTTTAAAAGTAGAAATTAAAATGTAAAGTTTTGTTTAAAAGTAATGAATACAAATCAAATTTCCAGAAACTGGCTTTGGGGTGAAATTTATTTTAGAAGACTTATTGAGATAATATTTACATGAATTTCCATAAAGTCATTTGTATAAAGATGTAAAAACACATGAGCTTGTTTTTCCAAACTCAGAAATCTGGTTTTTTCATCTTAAAAAAATTATTACAGGCAATGGCGCACACCTCCCAAACCAAATGTTTACTCCATCTCTAAGATGTGTTTCAAAGCTAGGAAGTGATGAATCACCTAATTTTGATCACGATTGTTTCAAAGAAGTACAGGACCAAAGACATGTTGTGCTCAAAGAGGTCCAAAATGATAGATCATTAACATGTTTTTGACAAAATCGAGGGGTCCTATATGCTTCATGGAAACTACAATTTATATTGCCAGAAATTATGGCACATTAGACCTTTCAGAGCATCTGGAATACATTAATAATTGTTAACATTTGTATAGTACCATGCAGTGTGCAAAGAAGGGCTTTTATATCTGCTGTCTTACTTAATCTGCACAACAGATCTTTAGAGTAGGTAGATTTCATAGATTAAATTTTGCAATTGCAAACTGCAGGTTTAGGAGACTTATGTTCATTCCCCAACGTCACTAAGGAGTGAAGAGTCAATGCCAGGTTGTGCCAGCTCAGTTCTGACCACCACTCCTCACTGCCTTCTAAGACATGGCCAACCTAAGCCACCCCAGACAGAAGACCCTGGGTGACTTGCTCTTATTCTCTGTATTTATTTACACGATGTTATGGCATTGAGCTGGATGAGTTTAAAAGAAAACCATAGCTGTTGCCACTGTTGGTTAAACATTGATGCTTGGAGTGGGCAGAGAATACAGACAGCGGCTTGAGTTCCTAGTCACCTTGCACAGGAAAATTAAGCAAGACCAAGAGAGGGAAAAGTAATTCTGGTTGATCTGAATGAAGGAAGCTTTGCAGAAGTTGGACTTTCTATTGGAATGTCTGGTCTTCTCTTTTTTCTACTTTATACTTTTTTCCAGGAAGTTCAAACTAATAATACAATGATCTCCCTTGAAAATCTAAACTGATACCAACTTTCACTGTATCACTGTTTCAGATATCTTTCCTTTCCCAAGGCTCTTCATTAAACGACCCATATCTCATGCCATTTATATTTCTACTTTCATCTAAACCCTATATAGAGGCATTATAATTATGTGATAATACCTTCCATTTATTGAATACCTATTAAAAAATTTCCAGGCACCATGGCAGGCACTTTATAAACTGTATATTATCTCTAAAGTTTGTGGCAAGTTTTACAAGGTTTACCTCATTCCTCTCCCTTTGTAGATAAAGAAACTGAAGCTAGGAGGGACCGACTCTGGGTTTCACAGTGGTGAGTGGTGGTGCTGGGGTTCCAGCGTAGATCTGTGTAGCTTCAAAGCCCAGGCTCGTCCCGGTACACAGCACCCAGAAACAATGCTTATTATGTTAGCTACTAAACGAAGGTATTTAGTGAAAATGTTCACTCTAAAGTAGTAATGTAGTTTAACAGTTGGAACCATACCCTCTTTTCCTCAGCCCTGAAAAGGTGGGTTGGTGGCCTAAGGTGCTGAAATCGAACCCAGCACCAGTACAGTGCTCCCATATCACATCCCTTACGAACCCAAGGGAGTCACAGCATGTAACGGGCTCTTCTCTTCTATTTCCTTCTCCATCTGCTCAGTTCTCAAAGGAAAACAAAATTCATATGAGGTCTAGAAATTAACTTTTATTTCAAATCTGTCAAGAACTCCTGACAGTTATTCATTTTATTAAAATGACTACATACGGCAAAACAAAGCATAGAGGTAATTCTATTTCTCTACAACATAAATTATGAGTTAGATTTTCAGCTGCTGGCTCAGCATTGTTCAAGTCCTTTTAAAGGACTGGTGGGACTTTAGTTTCCAGAGAATGTTAAAGCAGCAAGAGAAAAAAAAATAAAAGTAATTATAATTGGAGATACTGCCAACGATGTGCTAATTACAAAAACTTCTTGATGTGTTTATAGGCTACACTCCAAACTTTTGTATTTAAAAAAAGTTATGTGAATAGCTGTCCTTTATTGGCTTGTCATCCATAGTTTACAACATAGAACAAATTTGTTGATTCTTTTTTTAAAAATGGCAAAAGTGAATTATGGCTAATTCAAATGAAAAACAACCAGCATCCATTCATCTAACAGGAATATGTCAAAATGAAACAATTTTATTAAAATATTTAATACCAGAATAACTTATAATAGTATGAAAAACAGTGAAGTACTTGTGTTTAATTTTCATTGATATGACCCCATTGTGGCAAAATTGTTTTACAAAGATGAAACAGTTTTTATCATGGATCTGTAACTACTTAAGGATGTAAACTAAAAGACCACGTACTTCATCTGATCATACAGTCATAACTTACATATCTTGCTTTGCACTTACTGTTACTGCAAACAGCAATTTAGAAAACAAAGTAAAAATATATATATACAAAATATTTTTATATCAAATTATCTTAATTACACTAAATAAACCCAATTCCCAATGCTATGTTACATGAAAAAGTGTCCTACAATTTATGTCAAGATTGATATGGTCCAAATAACAACTAGAGCAGCCTTTGGTTTTAAAAGCATTTTGCAAAATAAAAAAAAAATGTCACTAAATGGCTGCATTACTGGCTCTCATTCACACTCACAAAATGCTTTCCAGTTTTTTTAAAAAATTACAAAATACATTACATACACACAAAAAAACCCATCCCCCATAAGAGAATCAAATCCTTTTTACTTCTCTGTAGCACATAAATCTGTTATATTTGGCATCTCCACTGCTTATTCAAGTTTCAAGTCTCCCCAAGCTGATTAGAATATTATCGTTTGACTGAAAAAGATAGTTTTCTTTCTTGGTATTGATTATTCTCACTCAATGATAGCTTAATTTAGGAACAAAACGTTCTTTCTTTTAATGCACAATTTCACTTAATTTTTACTTTAATATCCTACTTGGCATAATTCAGAGACTGTTCGATGTTTTGCTGTCCATATGTTTTCAATTTTAAAATCAGTTTTATGTATGTGTATGTATATTCACAGAGATACATTTCTTTCATTCTCTTGTTCTCATTGCAAAATAAATTGCCCATCAGCAATTGTAATTTGAAATGAACCAAATAAAAGGTTTTTACTCATTCCTTACGAAAAACAATTTGCACCACAAAAATAACTGAAGTTTAATGCAAACAAGGTTATGTTTTAAAAACTAAACTATAAGTTTAGTTCTACAAAGGAAAATTTCCTGTTATCTATATGATAAACTAAACACTTCAGCAAAACTTGAGAAAAAGAAAATCCAAATTGACTCTAAAGGGCATTGTACTTTCCAGAAGTGCTTGGAAAGTTTTTCTGATCACAACGTAGTCACCGCGATTCTTCTTAAATGTACACATTTATGTGATCACTGCTCCTTTTGTTTTGGAAGTTTGTAACGTATTAGATACGCAGGCAAGACACATGCATAAAAGTCTCGCTGTCTCTCTGAACAGCACACTGAACAATTTTATATACGACAGACGTTTTTCTTAAAGGAACATTTCATTTGGGCTGAACGATTTCCAAATTTCAACACGTGACTTATTGAATACGTTTCAAGGGCTTTGGCAATTATGGTTTCAGTCCTAGACTGGTCAGGTCCGTCTGGAATGACACGCAGACTAGCAAGCATTACGGCGTGCTCCTTTTGAGGCATAGCTTCTCTGCTGTGCCCACGTTGTAGCTTATTCTGGGGAAGCAAGGCACTTACTGTGATGGCAATGCAAACATTGTATGCATAGTTTGAGTAACATAAAATAAGTTAATATTTTAGATTAAAGTTAGTTTTTTTATAATTTATATGTCTTTTACAGAAGCAACTAAGTGATATATTCGGGGTATTTAAAAATAAAAAGAAGTTTGAAAGGGAGTCATTTTCACTCCTGCTTCAGCTCTTAAGATGAGGACTTATGAAAACACACCGGTGTGAAGACCAGCCATGGATCTGAAAAGCGGCCAACTACTAAAACTGCTGAACCAGGGGCACTTTGACCGTCTTTACTTCTGCTATATGTGACGACTTCTGGATGATGCAGCTGGTGGTTCCCTGCAGTTTGTCTTTTCCTTGTGCGAGATTCGTCAAGGCCATGGCCGCATTGATCTCCTTCCAGTACGTGTCATCCTTGCTCGCTCCCTTTCTATTAGCTGCACTGAATTTAAGCAAAAGAGGGAAGACAACGATCAAACTTGCTGCATCTACATGAAAAGCAGCACCGCTGAAAAGCACGAGTGGCAAACAGAAGCCCCCTGCTTACCTGTCGCCCTTACTGGATCCATTTTCCAGAGTGTCTGCAAAGAAAACAAAAATTCAATGAATGTTTTCCTTCCTTTTTGTAATCTCAGGAGTTTCATCATCAATTACCAGGAATAAAATTCCTGGTAATTTTTATTCCTGGTAATAAAACTCCTGGTTAGAGTGTCCTCAGGACACACCAAGATTGTGGGTTTGATCCCTGGTCAGGGCACATACAAGAATCAACCAGTGAGTGCATGAATGGTGGAACAACAAATTGATCTCTCTCTCTTCTAAAAAAAATCAATCAATAAAAAAATTCATCAGTAAATGCAGACAACTGTTATTGAATAACAATAATTAAAAAAGAAAATATGCTGGAAATTAGTTTTTACACAAAGATAGAGTAGTTTAAGATGTAAAAAAATCTCTTTACAAAGAAGCAAGCATATGATGAAGACAAGTAATAAAGAATAAAAAATAGCTTTCATAGATATACAAAAATCTGAGGTTAATTTATTCTGAGAAATTGGGCCTTCCCACAAGGAGGCAAACGAGACTGCCAGGTTCTGGTTCCGGCTCCACCCCACCACTAATCTGTACCTCTGGCCAGAATGTGGTGCCCCACCATGTCTGGGGTGCAGTTTTCTCAACTACATAATGAGGATGTTCCTAGAAGATCTTCAGGGCGCTTCTGGCTCCATATTCTATGATTTCATGGGAATCAAACCTCTACCTTAGAAGAAGGACTGGCAACTAGTTCCCTCTGGCTGGGTAGCGAATGAGTAATAGACTCAATGCTGACAGCAATACAGGAGTCCCTGGCACATTAAAACAAGCAGGCACCAGTCTCCAAGCTGCAAAAGAACTTCCTTTCCTGTGGCTTCCTCACTGAGAACACTAATGTCGACCAGTACCGCATCAATATAGAGACAAAACGGGTTCTTGGGCTTGATTAAATCTCTCTGGACAGTCCCTCTGGCTCAATGAACTGGGAACACAAAAGTGGACAGATAGAGGGAACAAGGGGCTGCCGGCAGGGCAGGGAGGTGGGGAATAAGAGTGGACCTGGGACTCCCCATCGGCCTGTGAGACCCCAAAACTAGATGGTGGTTAAGTCACCAGCATCATCCCCAACAAACACATGACCGAATAGTTACAGAATGAGGCATTGCACCATGCATAGGAAATGTGAAAAACAGTGTTTGCTTGAGGCTCTCCTTTAGCTCTCTGGCCTTTGGAAAGCTGTCTCTTCCTGCTCTTAGTTCTTTCCCGTTTGTTTACCACCCCTGACTCAATATTTTTGAAAGCATTTTTTTTTCTCTGCAATGCTTACGGCTGGTTAGAACCATAATTTCTGGTTCTGGGATCTAAGACAGTCATAGAACTAGAAGAAAAACATCAACGTGATTGTAATATTGTTCAACCAGGGCAAAATTCCCAGGCAAGACATGGTAAATAGAATATAACTAAGTAGCCATGTAGCAAAGGCAGTGAAACTTGGAAGCTCGCTATGAAGCTAAAGAATTGGGAAAACCCACTAACTCATCCTAAGTTGGGCATTATGGTGTAGACAGGGAGATAGTAATGGATCACTGTGAGCTCTTGAACAGTCTTTCACCCAGGGATCCTGAGATCTTAAAGAATCAAAAAAAAAAAAAAACCAAGCAAAACAAAAGCATTTAGCAAACAAGTGAGAAGATTGTTAGGAAGAACCAATGAGATAATACATGTCTAACCCAAAATGGAATAGCAAGTGGTATCAGTTCATTTGGAGTCCTTTTGTTTTAGGTATCCTTTGGGGGTAATAAATGGATCAGTGAGCCTTAGGATGGTCAGCCTCTGGATCTTCTGGCTCCTATTAGTTCTGAGTGGATGGTTAGCTATTCTGCTGTTGCTTTTGAAAATTTTAGTATTACAAAACTGTTCACGTAAATGGAGGAAATTTTAATTCACAGAACTCTGATGGTCCTAGTTCACAGGTCACTTCCTATGTGTCAGGCACTATTCTAAGCACTTTGTGTTTTAACTTATTTGGTATTAGTGTCCCTGTGTGTGGAGAGCATGTCTGCGTTATGTCCATTAAATCATTCTTTGTTTAGTGCTGTTATCTGTGAATCTTGATGCAGGAGTGACAGACACAAGGTGCTACCAGAACACAGAACAAGTCAAGGCTTTCGTTTAGGAGGAGGAAACCAGCCCATTGGACATTTTACAGAGGGGGAAAAAGAGTGAGGCCTTTGCTCAATTTTGCCCACAAATTGCAACAATTCTGTTGCCAGAGTGAAGCAATAGGTTATGGAGATATTTATTCAATGGAAAGACTTGGCAAAAGCAGAATAAGTTCCATGAAGCTTAAATAACATTAGGGAAATAACAAAACATAATTTAGAAAAGACCATGTAACCGATGCTCTGGCTCACAAAGCAAGCAGTCTCACACACACGCGGGGCCAGAATCAGACTCCCCACCTGAATGGTCAACCTGAGAGTGATTATGGCACCGACTGCAAGAAAGAAGCCTGTGGCTATCAAATATGTAATGGGTTACAGAGCCCAGAAATGCCAGAAATGAGTGCAGCCTGCTTGTGGAAAGGGAACATGTAATTCACTGCTAAGGCCCACGGAGAGCTTCTATTTGAGATGAAGAGTGAACTTGTAGGTCCTGCAGTCCCCTGAATGGCTGTGCTCCCTGGGGCTGCCTCCTTGAACTTGTGCCACAGAGAAACAAGTTTACTACAGCCTCCTGTGAGATTATAAAATTCTGCTTACTCTTTGGGTATATGTGCTTTACAGTTTGGTGCCTATGAAAACACCTTTGAAGTACAAAAACACAGACTCCAGTCCCCACTTGGGTATTCCTAATTAGTTTCACAAATTTCAACAATGTACTCGGCAGTATTCAAAAGACTGAATCCTTTATTTTGCTTCTAAGGCAGACGGGCACATGCAGTGTCGTTAGGTAGGGGATCGGGTTCCATTCTCAGCAACAGAAGAAAAGTCTTCATAAGAAGGCACGTAGAGGAGAAGCATTCGGACTCTCCATCAACAGCAGTTGATGCTAAACCAGTGTATAACAAAATTCCATGTCAAACATCTCAAACCAACAGGAAAGGGAAAGCTGGCCACTACAGCTTTTGGGGGCCTCTGTGTGCAGGGTCATCCGGTTGAAAATCTGAACTGGTGTTAGAAGGGTATTCTTTCCTGTTGCCGCTATTGGGGGCTGCCCATTGTCAGGACGTTATGCATCTAACAGCCGCCTCCGGCCATGTAGTGTTTCTAGTTTCCAGAACTAAGCAGAAGGGAGATAGCAAACAGGGGCCTTTTACTCAGAAATATTCGTGTTTTGTAGGTAAGCAAAGAACTATAAAGATGTGGGAGTTTGGGGACATTTTTTTCTCTTTGTTATGCTGAGATAAAATCTGGGGGAATGCCCCAGGTATTTTAAAGAACTGGCTTCATTTGTGGGGAACTCAGAAAATTTACAATTCGCGAATTACATTAAATAATTGTATTAAATGTAAAGGTTTTTTTTTCTTATGCTCTTTTCCTTTGAAGTTTAAACTTGCTGGCTCTTATCCGGTTGAAATACTTGTGCCTTTTCAGTCAACTGTCAGCATTCAAGGAGTGGGGGGTGTTCACCCATCACCAGGGGCTCATGCCACTCCTGCCTACTGCAGGCAGGTGGTCTCACCGCCTCCTCTCCACAAGTGGCACCCAGTAGCTCGGTCTGACAGGAGGAGGAAGGATTCTGAACGCTGCTGAAAAGAGAGAAACTGTAAGTCTGAGCTAGAGCAGACTTTCCCTGTTGTTAATTAGCGTGCACAGACCTCAGTCTGACTGCCCCCTACTTTCAGCTCAGCTGTAGCTCTCACTCTGCAAGTAGCTTGGCTCAGCCTCTCTAAAGTCTGAGCTAAAATGCCTTTTTAGATTCTAAGGTTCCAAAAATCAGCTACGCTGTCAATTACCATAAAAGCAACTGGTTGGCAGCAACAACGTATTAAACCAGCCAAAAGAGCGTGTTTTAAGACCAAAAAAGAAAAGGAAAGAAAAAAAGAGGTGTGTAGTTAGGAAAATCTTGAACGCTGTAAAACCCAAAGCATGTTGAAACTTACAGTGGGGCTATCCTCGGTTTGGACATGTGTTTTCTTAAACAGTTCAGTAGAGAAACAATTATACAGAAAATTCAGGTCTGCTGCAACTCAAAATGGGTAAACATAAAGCTCTGTGGGCAAAGTGTCCACTTAAGTTTGATAAATGCTGATTTAGAAACACATTAATTCTGATATATATTCCTGAAATAAGAGTTAGAGTCATAAAAAGAAAGAAAAACACAGCCAAATCTTTTGCTCTGAGATGTTTTTTTCAAATTTAATCAATAAGCCCTAAAGTTAGGAATGTTTTTAAATGTTTCTCAAAGTATTACTCATACCACTAACATAGAAGTAAAATTAAGTATGATTAAGAATATGCGTATTTTTAATTAAATAGTCTAAAAGTCATATAATATGCTTCCCTAAGTTATACTAGAGAGAGGCAGAGCTCCAGATGCTTGGCAACTGTGTTTCCTCACACTCGGGTCAGTTTGGGGCCGTGACTGGTGACAGCAGGTGTGGGCAGCCAGGGCTTTGCTGTGTTTCTGATCTCAGGGGTCCCAAGAGCCCCCAAGACAACAGATCAGTTTCTGGAGTAATTACACACTTGGAACAAGTGAGATTAAAAACAAGACCTGGTGAGGACAGCAGATACAGAACCTCGCTGAAGATTCTAAGAGACTGATCGCTCTGGACTTTAGGACCTGACACGTGCGGACGAGCAGTCGCCGGGCTCTCTGCTCCCCTGGCCGCGGCTTCTCTCTCCGCCGCCACTGCAGCAGAGCCAGCCTGGCCGCACACACACCCACAGGCTGGATCCATCATGGCTCTCCGTTCCATTCCCTTTAACTGTAGCACATGTTGTTTTTCTCTAATAAGAAATGCAGGTTCACTGCAGAAATCTGGGGAAAAGTGTTAAAGAGAAAATACAGGACTTAGGGATACCTGATATTAACATTTAGA